GGAAGTTTTCCTTAATTATTTGTTCAACTAAGTTTTCAATATCTTGCTCCTCGTCTTCTCCTTCTGGCAGTCCTATGATTCAGATATTGGAATGCTTAAAGTTGTTCCAGAGGTTCCTAAGTCTCTCCTCATTTTTTTGAATTTTTGTTTCTTTGTTCTGCTCCGGTTGGATATTTACTTCCTCCTTTTGTTCCAAATCATTGATCTGAGTCCCAGTTTCCTTCCCTTCACTATTGGTTCCCCTTTATCTCACTTCGTATAGCCTCATTTCTTCCTTCATTTTGTGACCAAACTCAATCGTTTCTGTGAGCATCCTGATAACCGGTGTTTTGAACTCTGCATGTGACAGGGTGTCTATCTCCTTACCACTTAGTTCTTTTTCTGTAGTTCTGATTTCTTCTTTCAATTGGGCCATATTTCTTTCTCTCAGTGTACCTGTTATGTTGTAAGGGCAAAGCCTTAGGTATTTGGCAAGTCAGGGCAACCCGCTTTGCTGCATTGTGGTGCTGTCTGTGCTGGAGTGGTCAGAGAGGGAGCAATGCGCTCCCTCACTCCACTCCAGCCCCACTTCCGTCACTTCTCTTGCTTCCCACAAGCAGACTGTGCCCTTTCAGGTGCTGATTCCCAGGTGAGTGGGTTTGTTATATTCTAGGACCTAGTGGGCCTCTCCAACAAACTCTCCTGAGAGACTGAGAGTTTCTCCCACCTTCACAACCCCCACAAGATTTTAGAGCTAGAGGTTGAGTCTTTTAGCTTCCCAATCAGCCACACCCTGCTTCACCTGCATGGTCTACCATCTTACTGTGGGTCCTCTCTGCCTGGCTGCCCGTCTTTGCCCCTCCAACTGGTCTGGATTAATGTTTCCTTAACTCCTTGATTGTCAGAGTTCCATGCAGTTTGATTTTCTGGCAATTTTAGTTGTTTACTGTTTTTAAATTGGTTGTTATCCTTCTTTTGGTTGTGCAGGGAAGCCAAGCATTTCTACCCATGCCTCTATCTTGGCTGGAACTGGTCTGAAGGATTTCTAAGGAGGTTCTTCTTAAATTATAGCTATAAGCTATATGAAATGTGCTTTGTAAGCACAAATACAATAAAGCAGAGGAGTATTTGTAAAAGAGGGTTTGGCCATTGCTAGCAATAAAAATTTACAGTCACAAATTGCTACTAAGTGCCAGGTGCTCTGATAAGTGCTAGTGATAAAAGCAAGCTTGCTTTTTATTCTACAGAATGTTAAGAGTCCAGTAAAAGAAAGGCACTTGATTGATTAAAGTACACTCTGACTTAACTAATCTAATATATATACACATAGCAAGTATTTTTGGTAGTGAATTTCCAAGTAAAAGAGAAAAGGTGTTTACTAAGCAAATGCAACTTCTTTCACAAGGAAGAACATGAAATATGACATGTTGCACTACAAGCAGTGCACTCATCTGACACTCAGGACCTATTTATTTTTCTAGATCTTTAAGGCAATGAGAAGTGACTTTTAGGAAGAAAATAACCCAGGCTGAGAGTCTGGATATTGAGATAAGGTGACTTTGTCAAACTATTTAAAGTCTGTGAGTCTTAATTTCCTCCTGTATAATAGAGATAATTACCTTCCTAGGTCATTGTAGAGGGTAAAGGAGAATAAAATTATTATTTATATGTGAACTAATCTATAAAAGACTTGAAAATAAGATAAATCAGGGAATAACTATGTAGTTACTTAAAAATTCATTAAAATATCAACCAGTGGTCAAGATGGTGGTGCAGGTAAATACAGCCTGCCTCCTCACACAACCACATCAAAATTAAAATTAAACTATAGAAAAACCATTTTTCAGACTGCCAGAAATTGAGTTGAATGGAAGTTCTACAACTACAGAATTAAAGAAGAAACTATTTTGAGACTGGCAGGAGGGACAGAGACATGGAATGGGCTGCTCCCATAACCACATGTGGCAGATAAAATCGGGAGGGATATCTCAGGAGCTAGGGATCCCAGCTCCACACAAGGCCTCCCAGCCCAGGGTTCCAGTGCCAGGAAGATGAGTCTCCATAACTTCTGGCTATAAAAACCAGCAAGGATTGACAGTGTGGAAGAGAGAAACTACTGGAGTCTCAGGTAGTTCATCTTAGAGGGCCCATGAATGGACTTATTCTAACTCTCCTTCTAAGCTCCAGCATGGGGGCAGCAGATTGAAAGGCATCAGAGACATAGGGGGAAGACCTGAATTGTCGGGCATCAGGGCAAGAGCTGGGGGGCAGCTTTCTCACAGAAAGAAGTGCTAGCAGAGGCCACTGTTTCTTTTCTGAACCCTTTACCCACAGAGCCACAGAGGCAGCAGGCAGGTACCATTTCTGAGACTCCATCAACCTGGCTCAGAGTTTGGCTGACCCTGGTGATTTCCTGAAGCCCTGCCCCAAGAGCAATAACTTTCGAGTCTACCCAAGCTATTGTTTCCAAGGCTTTTCCATGCAAATAGTTTGTCTTTGCCCACACTTCAGATTTTCCTAAATTCCCTCACACAAGCAGTATCTGGCTTCAGTGAGCCCAGTACCTTTCACTAAGTTGCCTCAGGCCCAGCATGAGCAGCAGCCAGCCTTGGTTTACAGCTTGGCCTCACCTGGGCATGTCCAACCCCAGCTCAAGTAGCAGCCATGTGCATATTTTTTTGTAGCTTATGCTGTGTGACCCTGGACAGAGCACAACTGATGACTGATTTTGGACATGCAAATAATAATAAAGGCTCAAATACAATAGGAGGGTATACATTGCACACATGGTGGGCACATTTTCAGTACACAAACTGAGTAATAGGGGAGGCTGTGCCACTGGACTCCACATACCTACTACAGTAGGCCACTCTACTAAGCCTCGGAGACACTGAAGTTCTACCTAATACATAGAAACAAACACAGGGAGACTGCCAAAATGAGGAGACAAAGAAACATGGCCCAGATGAATGAATAGAACAAAATTCCAGAAAAAGAACTGAAACAAAATGGAGATAAGCACTCTACTAGATTACAAGTTCAAAACACTAGTTATAAGGATGCTCAATGAACTTAGTGAGAACTTCAATATCATAAAAAAGATCCAGTCAGAACCAAAGGATACACTAATTGAAATAACAATTTACAGGGAATCAACAATAGAGTGGATAAAGCTGAGAATCAAATTGGTGATTTGGAATACAAGGAAGTAAAAAACAACCAATTAGAAAAGCAAGAAATAAAAAGAATAAAAAATAATGAGGATGGTGTTAGGAGCCCCTGGGACAATCATTAAGCATACAACATTCATATCATGGGCGTGCTGGAAAGAGATGAGAGAGAGTAAGATATTGGAAACCTATTTGAAAAAATAATGAAAGAAAACTTCCTTAACTTGGTGAAGGAAATAGACATACAAGTAAGGTAATGCAGGAGTCTCAAAGATGATGAACCCAAAGAGGTCCACACCAAGACACATCATAGATAAAATGCCAAAGATTAAAGACAGAGAATCTTAAAAACACCAAGAGAAAAGCAGAGAGCTACCTACAAGGGAGCTCCCTTAAAAACCGCTGACTTCTCAAGAGACTTTGAAGGCTACAAGGGATTGGCAAAAAATGTTCCAAGTGATGAAAAGCAAGGACCTACGACCAAGATTACCCTACACAGCAAAGCTATCATTTAGAATCAAAGGGACAGATAAAGAACTTCCCAGACAAGATAAAGCTAAAGGAGTTCATCACCACCAAACCAGTATTATATAAAATGTTACAGGGTCTTCTTTAAGAAGATCAAAAATATGAACAATAAAATGGCAAAAAAAAATACATAGCTATCAACTGAATCTAAAAAGCAAAAAAAACAAGCAGAAAAGAAGCAGAATCATAGACACAGAGAATGCTTTACCAGTGGCCAGATGGGAAAGGGGTTGGGGGGCATGGGCAAAAAAGATGAAGGGATTAAGAAGTACAAATTGGTAGATGCAGAATAGTCATGGGGATGTAAAGTATGGCATAGGGAACACAGGAGCCAAAGAACATACATGTATGACCCACAGTATGAACAATAGCGTGGGCATTGCCAGAAGGAGTGGGGGTTAGCTGGGTGGAGGGGGGCAAAGGGGAAAAAACTGGGACAACTGTAATAGCATAATCAATAAAATATAAGTAAAAAATCTGACTAAATTTCTTTTCTTTTTTAAACATATTTTACATGCAAGCCACTCTTGGGAAGCACAATACAGTACACTGTTTTCACTAACAGTGAGCCCATCAGCCAGCTATTTAGACCAAGGTCAAGGTCAAGGTCAGGTAGATCAATCGATCAGGTAGATTAATCAATCAGGTAACTGATCCTAACGTGACTGTTCTGTTTGACCTGCCTGGACTACAGGACACCACAGTCTAAAACCAGAGTAGCAGAGCGGATTTCATAAAGAAAAGAGAAGGGTCAGTTAAGAATTCTGAATTTCAAACAACTGAGTGGGCAGAAGTGGAAGTGACAAGCTCAGTTGTGGGTCTTTCTACTCCATGCTATAGATATACAACCACCACTTCAAATGGTTTCTTCTGTCTATACACTTAGGTTTTATAATTAATAACCCATGTAGTTAAAACATATAACTTCAGAGTCCTAGAAGCACAAATGAATTTGATTATTGTCAATTAATTGACACATATGAAAAAAATTGGTAATAATCATTCTTTTTTCTTGTCAAAGTCAGCAGGAAGTCATGAGAAGAACAGGGTACAGTTTAAAAAGTACACTCTCATTTTGACTCAATGTGTTCTTTTAAGAAGAAACCATCTGACTCCTCTAAGCCAATGGCTTCTCAGATGCCAATGGAGGAAGAGAGATGGCTGAAGGAACTTTTCTGATCTAACGACACTATATATCCCAATCATCTAGATATCTACGTTTGCTAAACCTCCCGCCTCTGATTTTACCACAGCCATGTTGGATGGCACTCAAAATGTATGAATGTGCTTTCTAGACACGTTGCTAGATGGAAGATAACTTACCACCACTGGGCTAGAAAAGAGCTGCAGAATGCCATAGGAGGAGCCTGCAAAGAAACATCAATAAAATCAGCTAAACACATCACAAAATTGGATTAATGGGATAACAACTACATAGTAATTAACAGAAAAACATTAGGAAAAAAAGTTCATTTTTAAAAAGGAAATTACCCCACAACTTTTTTTTTCAATTGGAAAATTTTGTGTTAAACAGGTAGAAACATTGTATAGTCCTCTAAGATGTGGTGGTGGTAGTGCAGGAAGTTTGAACTGATTGGTGAAGGCTTAACCCAATTCCTTCTCCTCCATGGTGTGATTTCTGTGTAGTTTACATTTGTTTCGTCTATCACATTAGGTTACAGGTTCTTATAGGCAGGAGTCCGTACCTATCTTTTAACTATACAATCAGCTCCTTGGAGAGGCTCAATAAGCCCCTGTAACAGCACTGCTGGTATGAGGCATGGGGATAACACTGAATCTCAAAAGTTCTCAGAATAGAGGCAGTCTAGGAAAAGATGAATCACATTTGCTCCAGGGTAATATTTTTAAATATTCTGAAAATTCATCTTACAGCATTTTCAATTTACCTTTGAATAGTATTCGCTATCGCTGTAAGACTATTTTTTTGTTTTCAGGCACTTAGTTCAGGGAATTTAAAATCCAGCACTCTTAAAATGTGCAATGTAAGCACTTACCGACAATTCCAGCAACTGCTGGACTTGCTCCAAGAGACTTAATGTGAATGCTCAATAAAGGGACAACCATGCTGACACCAAACAAATCCTAAACAACAAAACACTAATTAACTCAAATTAGAAACAAAAGTCTAGGTGTTTTTATAGTGGTGATCCTAATTATAAACTGATTTTCCAAGACAAACCTAAAACTTCGAGAAAATAAGAAATCCTAACTGTATTGTTATGCTATACTCAACAGGTTATAAAGCTATCAAGGATCCAAATACAATAAATTATAGCAGCTGCTACCTGTAAATGAGTGAACCACTCTGACCTATAATCCATTTTAACTTTAGTTTCTTTGTAATTGGTATTTAGTATTCAAGGAGGATATGTACCTGAAGTTCCTTAAATAAGAAAGCAAAACAATTTTTTGTCGGTAATGAAGTGGGGAATGAGGTAGGGATGATGTGTATTTCTTGATAAAGCAGCATGTACTTGAATTTGAGCATGAATTTCCTCCAGCAGTTGGGGAAGATAACTAATCTGGGGTTTACTGAAAAGCTGATATATTAATGCAAGGCCATCTTCTGCAACTAAGTCATAGAAAGTGCATGCACTCTGGGATCAGAAAGACAGTTCCCAATTCCAATTGCACCATTTATTAATAAATGTGTCCTTGAAAAGTTTATTGAATGTTACCAAGCATCAGTGCTATCATCTTTAAAAAATGAGGATAAAATACCTGCCTGGTAGAAATATAATGTGTATTAAGAGATACAGTGGTTGAGAAAAGTCTGACACACAATAGAAGCTCAAACATATTTTCTCTTCAGTTCTGAGAATAGGTAGTGATCCTTTTTTGCTAGGGATTCTGAGTTAACAGGTTGTTAATATTTCCTTTAACTATTGTGGTTCTCATTACTACTTCACTTGCGTACTTGCTACAACTGGTTTAGGAGAAGAAAAACACATAGCACACACAGTTTTTATTAAATAGTCAACCTGAATTCATTTTCTTGTAATCCTGGTTAAGCAGAAATACTTGAAAAACATGTATTTTTTCAGTCAACAGTTAATCTTTTGTTCTTTGCTTCTCTTGACAGCTGTAATTCACCTAATTACAGAATCATAAACTTCCCAATACACTTTTCAGCATTTTATCCTCCATGGTTACATTTTCAGATGGCCATGTCTTTAATATCCAGTAGTATTAAATAGCTTATAAATTCACAGTACCAGAACTACAGCCTACTATTTTGATTTTAATATTATAGTAGTCCTCCCTTATCCACTGGGGATACATTCCAAGAACCTCAAGTGGATGTCTGGAACCAGAGTACCAAATCCCATATACATATTTTTTTCCTATACATGCATTCCTATGATAAAGGTTAATTTACAAATTAGGCTCTGTAAAAGATTAACACCAATAACTAATAAAACATTTATACAATTATAACAATATACTGTAATAAGAGTTATGTGAATGTGGTCTCCCTATAAACATCTTGTTGCACTGTACGTACCCTTCCTGTGACGATGTAAGATAATTCAGTTCCTATGTGATGAGATGAAGTGAGGAGAATAAGGTAGGCATTGTGACACAGTGTCCTTAACCTACTGTAACGGTTACTTGAACAAAAGCACTGCGGCGATCTGATAACCAAGCAAGAAGGCTACCAAGTGACTCAGGGAAGGTAGTGTATACTACAGGTCAAGGGCACGGGGATGATTCTTGTCTAGGACTAAAGGAGGTGTGACATGGTGAGATTTGAAACAGCGTGCTATTTAAAACTTGAGTGTAGATCTGGATTCATTTTCATTCTTTTCCCCCACCACACACGCGCGTGCACACACACCCGCCCGTCTGCGCTTTTCCTCCCCCTTTCTTCCCTCAAGGCGCATTGCATTTACTTTCATTATCTTGAGTTCCAAGAGGCTTTTTTTCCTCTTTCTTTATTTTTTTTGGCCTGAGCCAGTTGTTTTCCGAAACCACGCAGCCCAGCTGCCTCACGTCTGACACCGTTCACTTCTACCTCTGTGACTTTCTAAATAAAATTTTGCTTGTGTTTGAGTCTTAGCTCTGAATTTTTTTCTCACCCAGAATTTAAGGTCCCAGGTCTAAAATCTGGTGCTTTTAGCGGTTAACACACCTCCCGCTCCAGCTACAAGAAAACCCACTCCCTCTAACAGCGTTAGCAGTCAGCACCTGAAAAGCAACCCCAGCACTCACCAAGAATCCCACCAGGTAGACGCAGAGCAGAAAGAGACGGGCTTGCTTCACAGCAGGCCGCGGAGCTTCCGTCGGGGCTCCTATTCCCGCCTCTTGCCCCCTCGTTTCCGAGTAGCCGAGGCCCGCTCGGCAGACCCCTACGGCTCCCAGCACCATACCTTTAAAAACCTGGAGCGCCGACTCCCAGCAGACCCTGCTCGAGAGGTAGGCGTACAGCTCCACGTCAGCCCCGCCCCCGACGCCCTGCTGCGTGCGCTTGCGCAGAGGGGAATTCTGCTGGCTGCCGCTGAGTGGCTGGCGGCGAGAGGCAGGGCTGAGCCTTTGCGAGACCAGGCTGCAGACGGAAGCGGACCCGCCCCCTATCCGCCACACACCGGCTGTGCCACCGTCTTTGAAGGATATGTGGGTTTTTGAGATGGCAGTGATGATGCTGTTTTCTTGAAATGAAGACCCTATTGTCCTTGCGTTTGGTGGACGAAGGGGATTATAATGAGCTTCACCTCAGGGAATGGATTTGTCAATGAAACAGCATCCAAACTTGTAGAAAAAGTTTTATGAGTTTATATGAGTCCAATTTAGAGTACATACGTGGAAGCAAAATCTCAATGGATTGAGAAAAGACTGTGCAGAATGGCAATTTTGCAGCTTATTTTATGCATTAAAACCAAAGGAGAAGCTGTAAAGAAGGTGGTAGATTAAGGGGACCAGAGAAAGCTAAGGGAGAGAGTGATATCTCTAGGACTGGAAAAAAAGTAAAATGGAGAGATGGACACTTATTTTACTTTGGTGGACACAGTATAGTTAATAACAGCACACAGAGATGGTATGGAGTGAACAAGATAACCTTTGGAGTCGGGCTTTGTGAACCTCTTTGGGGACAGAGCAGTTTGGTGCCTCAGATGGGTGTGGAGAAGAAAGTTACATTGACATTTCAAAGGTATAGTATCCTAGATTGTAAGAACAGCAGAGCTCACTTAAGGTAAAGATTGACCTTTGCTAAAAAAGTTACAGGCCTGGGACATGACTACCCTCTATGACTAACCAGTCCAGTTAATGATTTATAATCAAATCATCCTGTGTGGTTACTTTTTGGTCACTGAGCTTCTCAGGCCTACCATGTGGGCCCTGCAGCTTGTCAGGTTTATCAAAAGCCCCATTTTTTTGGTTCACAGGATCATCCTTGGTGGCAACTAGCTTCAGCTGTAAGACGCCAAGACTTAGGGCACTAGTTGGCTGTGAGTGACCTAGAGTAAGTTAATTTAGCTCCCCCCAACCCCTGCAAGATTCAATTTATTTATGTGAAAAACAAGAATAAATAACAGACTAAGTTGTGAGAATTCTACAAATGCTTACTGAGTGCTTTGCCTCGTGCTGTTCAAATGTGAACAAGACAAACAGCGTCTTTGCCTGAGATGAGGGTATCGTTTCCTGGAGTAATAATAGTAAATACACACTAAATAAACATGATAAATTAAAATAATAAAGCACAATAAATAAAAGACTAAAAGCAATAAATGGTACCGTGACAAATAATGGAAGACAGCACAGTCTCAATGTGGAGACTGATGAGTGAGCTGTTTTAGAAGAGCAGCTTGGAGGAGATGCCATGTAAGCCAAGTACAGTTAAAAGGAGATACTTTTGGCTGAAAACTTCTGAACAAACTTAGAGATCAGATCAGACAGGTAAGCTTGGGTACAGCTAATTTAGGACCTAAGAGGCCATGGAAGATCTTTGGGATTTTAGTCCCAGTGCAGTGAAAGGAATTAAGTGGTTCATGACACCAAATAGTGTATATAAACAACTTAACACAGCACCTGATACTTAGTAAGTACTTAATAAATACTAATGATGGTTAGTAGTCCCTTTTTATTTAGGTATTTATTTCATTAGCTACTCCTCTCTTGCTCTGATATCCAGAGGAGTTAGTTTTTACTGAGATTTTGATGAAAATCTTAATTTGGTTGTACAGGTTGCTGAATTAAAACATCTGTGGAATTCAATCTTGTAGAATTTCTCATGTGAAAGTTAAGGTGCTATTTAGGAAAGAATGAGATCATAAATTTAGAATGAAGACATGTGGTTGGATCCAAGATGAGACTGGTAATCTTAAACCAAGTCACTCTTATCTTTCCTTGCCAGTAGAAGTAGTTTGTCCATCTATAACTGAGGAAACTAGCCTCCTTGTGCTTGAAAATCTTGTGATTTTTCTGATCTGGACTAGATACCTTGAAGGGGGGTGCACATGTTCCTCAAAACCCATCAAAACTGCCTGCAGTGGTTACAAGATAAATAGGTGGGGTAAAATCTCAATATGCACCATGGGGCAGATAGACACTAAGTGACATTGAAAGGTGCTTACACACCAACATAATTGAAACACTCTGCTAATATATAATCAGCAAAGACCTTGGGGATGTCTTGATATTTTGGGAAGTTCCTTACAACCAGTTGACTGAAGATGAAAAACTTGAGACTGGTGTACAAATAGATCTGCATGACGTTCTGGTACCACCTGCAAGTGAACAGCTGTAGCACTAGAGCGCTACATAGGGGTGACTCTGAAGGATAGTAGTGAAGGGAAATTTTATCACTCATTGGGACTTCAAGAGACATTTTAGTTGTTCACTTTGTCTGGAGTGAGAAGTAGCCAAAAATGAACTACATTTTTTCACTGGCAATAGCTGAAGTTATATGAAGCAGACTTGAAAGATTAATGACATAGAAATCTGCAGTAAAGATATGTGGTTGGAGGCCTCAAAGGGGCACAGGATATAGAAGATACTTTTATCCCATGTGAAAGTCTGCCAGTGGGTATCTAGTGCAGAGGAGGCCCTTAATAATCAAGTAGACAAAATGATGTGCTCTTTGGATATCTCCACCCACACCAGGGTTTTTTCAATGGGCCCAAGAACAAAATAGTTGTGATGGTAGTGATGGGGACTATATATTGAATCAAAAGCCTGACCTTACTTTACCAGTATTATTGCTTAATTTGTAATCTACCAACAGCATAGACCAACATTTAGTTTCTGCTATGCCACCATTTTCTGGGAAAGCAACCTAATGAAAGGTTGCTTGTATTTGACCTCTACTATTATGGAAGAGATGGAGGTTCATCCTTAGCATAACAAACAAATATTTGCATGTATATTTTCCTTCTCTATTCCTGATACCTCTGACAATACCACCCATGGACTCATGAACTAACGTATGGCATTTTAACATAACATTGCTTCTGAGCAATGTACTCATTTCACTGCAAAGGAAATAAAGCAATAGAATCATCCTTATTGAATGAACTGATCTTATCACATCACATGTCATCCAGAAGAGGCTGGCTTAATTAAATGGGGAGACTACTTCTTACAGGCCCAGTTACAGTGCTAAATGGAAGAGTGATGTAGACTCTGCCCTGTGGAGTCAGTATGTTGTGGATTCAATGAACAAATTCACATGGACTACAGAAGTCCTATAGAGAAAAAGGGATGGCATGGCCACTCTCTCAAGGGGAGAATGCCTCGACCCTTGCCTTGACAAGCTTTATTGGCTTTCTAATAGCATACATCAAAGAAGGTTCTCATTCATTATGCTCAGGTTTGCTTTAGGTGATTACTTTTACAGATAACAAAGGAAAGGATGTTACTGATTACTTCTTACAGATTAACAAGGGAAAAATGTTGCAAATGCAAGGGAATGATAGGAGTGATTGATTTGGTTACACTCTGTCCTTGGAAGAATTAGCACAGACTTCAGAAAGTTACTTGAAAGATATGCAGTAAGCATTTTCTGCTTCAGCTCAGGGTGAGGGAGTTCTAGCAAGAGCAAGCCTCAAAGCAGCCTAGGTATAATGCAGGCCTGGTTTCCCATGGGACAGCCAATCTGTGTTTTTGGCGTCCTATGTGCCAACTTGCACCTATTGGTTTTCCAATAGGGCTAGGCTACATTTGCCATTCCACACTCCATGCGGATAGGTTCCCTATAGAATAGAATACTCTAAGAGAATAGAGTTCTGTCTTAAAGCATATGATATATCCTTTGAATTAGAGATCATTATATGGTGTGGTCTCCTCCATATCCAGAAGATATAATTTGAAAATCAAAGGTAGAAGTAGTAGTGGATTCTCTCACTCTTATACCTAATAACTCATTTATGCTTCTCATCTTGGCATCATTGAACTCTCTTGTTTTGAGGACTTTGATCCCAAGAGGGCAATGTATCCACCATGTGGTGTAGAAAAGGTTCTATTGAATTAGGAGATTATACCATGATTTGTGTTTTTAATGTTATATTTTTGATCATTTTGTTTTGTGTATGCCCTAGCTACTTATTGTAGTTATAGTTGATTTTACTACTTTTGTCCTCTAACCTCCACTCTAGTCTTTTAAGTGTCTGATTCACCTTATTTATTATATATTTGATTTTACCAGTGAGATTTTTCTTTTCATATATTTTCTTTTTTTTTTTCATGATTCCATTTATATGAATAGCTCAGAATTGGCATTTCCATGAAGATAAAAGGTGGTTTTCTAGGGCTGGCAGAGAAAAAGCTAAATGAGGAGGGACTTCTAATGAGTGGTGATTTTCTTTTGTGGTTAATGAATACATTCTGAAGTTAGATATGGTTATGGTTGTGCAACTCTGTGAATATTTTGAAAGCCCATTAAACTGTAAACTTTCAAAGATTGACTTATACAGTAAGTGAACAATTTTAATAAAGCTGTTATAAAAATGAACAAACAAAAAGTCTCCCAACAGAAAAATGAGTCAAAGAAATAAACAACCAAAGAAGAAGAAGAAAATAAAAGAAGAAATACAAGAAGTGGATATACTTAACAAAGAAAAAATGTCCAAGCTCATTAATAGAGAAATCAAAATAAGCAGAAAGTAACACTTCTAGGATCTGACAGGCAAAAACTAAAAAGACTGCCAGTTTCTATTGTGGCTAGGACATGTCCCCAGTTAGTAGGAGCAGAAAATGGTACACTTTGAAAGGAAGCCTACTAGCACTGAAACAGATGTTTAATGCATTTATTGGATGGCTAAAAATTAATGCTTGGATGTGAGTGATCAGAGAACCTGTGGCACAGATACTATGATCTTACCCATCTTTAAGGAAACTGTGAGTCCTGGTAAAAAAAAGCTACACCCAGAGAAAACCCAGTCTTGCTAGTAATAAGATTCACCATGTTGAGCACTCAGGGGATATTACTAGCAAGAGAAATTG